TTGTTTCATAAAACAAACTAATTCCTAATTTTTTTCATGTCTTATAACTACTAGAAACCGAAGATTGTCAAACATACGCTAAAACTTTTGCGAATCCTCCCTCGATAATTTCGAATCCGAAGCGGTTCCCATCCATCCTGATTGCGTTGCTTAACCTGACGATTGAGCGACACGCGGTGATTTCAATAACTCCAACGATGTTCTTACAATTTATGCTTATAAAATTTATAGTGTTCACAGTATATTATAATGTACCTAGCAAATACACGCGTTGATTCCCCTATCTATTTTATTTAATATCTCTAAAGTTTATGTAGTTATTTACAAAATGACTTTGACCATTCCTTCCAGTTTAATGTTTTTCGAGTAATCTGACATTCCTATCTTTGTAATACTATAATTAAAACGAAAATCTAAAAAAAAAAAACTGTCGTCTCCACTTAGAATAAATTTTTTATGCAAAACGCACGCGATCCCAGTGAGAAATGACTTATCGATCGACGTCGAATTGACGTCTATTTGACGATTTCGACGTCGATCAATAAGTCATTTCTCACTGGGATAGTGATTACGAGCTAAAATTTACAAGACAGTAGAGTAACTCGTTACTTTTATATAAAAGAAAAAAACCTTTACGTCTTAGTAAAAAAAAAACGACCTAAAATGTATTAATTTTATTAATGAATAAATTAAGTATAACTTATTTATTAATAAAATATTAAGAAATTTATAGAAAAAAAAGAATATTATAATAAGTTTATTGTGATATATCATATTAAGAGATATGTCCAGTGTAGCGGGTCTTAAAATATCAGTAAACAAATATCCTGTGTACCTCAAGTCAAATCTCTAGTAAAAATGAAAACATTTTTACGCGAAAAGCAAACGATATACAGGGTGTTCCGCGTAAGCCGCGGCCGGCGAAGAAAATGGAAGAACGCACACGTACACGGACGCACACACGGAGCTACTGATTTCAGTATGCCAAACGGCCCACCTCTCTGGCCTATAAAATAGGCCCGCGAGCAATCGTCCATTTTCTTCGCCGACCGTGGCGAACCGTATGTTCCGCCTGCCGTGTCGCCGCGCTCTGATATGCTCAACTATTTTAATTAATATCTCGAAATTTTACGTGGTTGTTTGAAAAATGGCCTATATAATTTTTGTTCACTTTTATTTGTTCTACTTAAATT